TCGTCCATTCATGAGATGCAACTGGGCCACGCCTGCAATGCTACTGCTACTACGATTGCTACTACGATTGCTGCTGCCGCTACTTTGATAGGAGATGTGGTAGCAGTCGTGGTACTTGTAGTAGTCGGTCGTCGTCGTCGTCGTCGTCGTCGTCGTCGTTGTCGTCGTCGTTGTCGTCATCTCCGCCGCCTCCGCCGCCGCCGGTTGTCGTCGTCGTCGTCGTCCTTGCCTTCGCTGGCCGCCGCCGCCGCCGCCGCTTTGTCGTCGTCGTCGTTGTCGTGGCCGCCGCCGGTTGTGTGTTCGCGGTCGTCGTCGTCGTCGTCGTCGTCGTCGTCGTCGTCGTCGTCGTCGTCCCCTTCGTCCTCAGCGCCGCCGTCGTCGCCATCGATAGCTATTGCTACTTTAGTTTTTTTGCGACTGCTGGTGCCAATGCCTGCGTCCGCCCCGCTACCGTTACCCAGGGGGCCCAAGACCCCCCCCCGTCAAGGACCCAACGGGGGGGGGGTCGGTGTGGGGGGAGGAGGAGGTGGAGGAGGAGGAGGAGGACGACGAGGAGGACGAGGAGGAGGAGGAGGCGGAGGAGGAGGAGGGGCAGGGGAGGGCGGAGGAGGAACGAAGGGGGACGGCAACGACAAGGAAGGACCAGGATCCAAAGTGTGGCCTTCACTTTGGCGAGTGCTCTTTTCTTAAAGATTGCGGCAAAGCACCAATCCTGAGATGTGGCGCACACTGCTGCTCGGGGAACGCCATGTTGAGGGACCGAGAGCGTTCCGTCCGACATTACCCACGCGAAATTCCGTTTTGAAATCATTGTGGACTCAACGCGCGGCAGAAACGGGAGCACACGGGCGCGTTGTCAGGCGAGAGCGGAGAAGCAGACAGGGGTAGGGCGAGGACCAGGAAAGGCTGTTGTGGACAGGGCCGCGCCTTTTTGTATGTGGCTGTTTGTGGCAAGCCCCACCGCCGTGCCTTCGCAGCATTGACACGCTTTCATTGTCATGCTGGAGGAAGATCTCCTCCAGACACCTTTTGCCTGGATTCTGGAGGTTCGAGCCTTCAGGAAGAGGGCCCTGAGTGTCCCGAGCGCAGGCTCCGATACCCAGGATGTCGGCTTCAACCGCCAGGATGAGATGAATGATATTTGGGCTTCTACCCTCCCAGAGTGAGCGTTGGAATGCGTGCCGCGCGCTCCCACACATCTCTTCAGAAGCGGCACGATCAAGCCGTGTTGGGGCTGCCTGGGAGGCACCGCGACGACGTGCAGCAGTGTGCTGCGGCTGTCACGCTGCATGGGTTGTTGTGCTGCTTCCCAGGGGCATTTCGGAGACTCCTCGAGGGACTCTGTGGGGCCTCTTAAGCGCTTCTTGGGGCCCTCTCGGGGTGCTCATGGCGGCGTCCGGAACCCCTCTTGCCGCAAGATGGGCTCCTTTTCCTCCCCCTTTTCCTCCCCTCCCTGCTGCTCCTCGTCCTCCTGCTCCTCCTCCTCCTTCCCCATTCCTCCGACTCTTCTTCCTCCGCCTCCTCGCTTCCCCTGTCCTTCCCTCTCCTCCTTCCTCCTCGTCGTCCTCGTCGTCCTCCTCCTTCCTCCTCCTCGTCGTCCTCCTCCTCCCTTCCTCCTCCTCCCTCCCTCCCTCCCTACCCCCTGCTCGTTGCCCGCTCCGCCCGTGGCCTGGCCGGATGCCTCTCTCGAGGTCTCGTCCTTGCGCCTCCTCCGGCTGTGGCCCCGACGTGCTCGCGCCGTGCAGACATCACGACGGACGGTTTTTGTTCGCAGTCTTCGGCCCCTCGGGGCCCTCCACGGGCCCTGGGACTGGCAACAATGCTTCGGGATGAGCTGGCCTCCTCGGCCAAAGCGTCGGCTCACGGTCTGAGCCATGACGTCACCAGTCTTTTTCGGCCACGGCAGTACATTGCAGGCGTCCAGATGTTTGCCACGAGGTGTGAAGGCGCCCGGTGGTAATTCAGACAGCTCTCGTGCCGCTGGCGATGCAGTGCAGTACTTACGATGAAGAACCGGCCCTTTGGAAGGGGTCGGGACATCTGGGGACCGCGTATTGAAAACATCAAGACAGCGCATGTCTGGGGATTATCTTTGCTCTTATTCCCAGCCCCCGACCAGATCCCTGGGACCCATCCCCTCTGCGGCATTACCCCTCGAGCTGTATCAAGCGGTGAGGGCTCCTCCCAGCAAGGTCCAAGACAGGGCAAACACGCCCAGCGTGAGCAAGGATGCGACGCTGGGATCCCAGGGTAAGTCCTTGTCTTCAGGGTCCCAGAGGTCTCGATTTCTGCCCCCGGGCAGCAGCTGCTCGTCCCGGATCCGCGCTTGACGGTCAAGGAGAGCCGATGCGAGTTGTAGAACAGGGTTCGCCAGAGGTGCCTTTGAAACCCCTGATCATTTCCCCATGGAATAGGCCACGCGCAGAGGCTGGGGGGTACAGTCAACCCGCACAGTAAGGATGGGCAACCTTCCCAAGGGTTATGAGGTTCCGACCTACTTTAGCCTTGATCACCAGAAAGAATGTCGAGCGCCAGAAAAGCACCAACAAATTCGAGGGTTTTCACGTGTCGGGCCCTGTTTCGACACTGTTTCGACACTATTTCGACACTCCTTCGACATTTATCTGGGTCTCGCAATTATTTCTGGGATGTGGTCCTTAAGTGCGATGGGAGCAGCATAACCGTACCCTTGCATCCTTGCCCCTTCGGTCCATCCTTGGCGACTTGCGCTGGCCAACCTCGTTCGAAAAAACGGGCACATGGGCCTCCGAGGTCCTGGCATCCTTACCGCACATCCTTATGATACAGGTCGACAGTAGGGGGAGGGGGGAAGGCTTCTCAGAAGCACCCCTGCTTCTATGAAGCCCGCCCCCCTTCCCCCCTACCCCCCTCTGTGCGCCGCCAGGGGTAGCTGCCCGCCCCGGGGCCCACCCCTTTGATGCTCCTCCCGGGGCAGGCAGACGTGTGGATCGAGCAGGTTCAAGTCCTTCAGATCTGGCGCTCCTTGCCGCCCCGCCCCCCCCCTCCTCCGAGCAGGGCCTACTTTGATGCGATCGATCCGATTCGGTATCGACTCTCGCCAGCCCGCGCCGATCATCTTCAGGTCCTCCGTTGATCCGATGCGGTCCGATGCTTGCACGGCGTAGGTTGCGCACATTGGCGCACAATACGATTCGACCCCGATTTCCCGATTCGGCTCTTGAGTTCAGAAAGCTGGTTCTTGAATTCAAAAATTGGTTTTTGAATTCAAAACCTGATCCTGCCTTCGGGGGAACTCTTTTCGGAGACCTCGACAGTCGGTGGATCCAGATATAGTCGGGCCCTGGGAGGGCCAGATAGATCCATCTCCGCCGCCTTCCGAGGTCCCCGAAGATCGATCCCCCAGGCGATGCTCATGTATAAGTCTCCGCCCTTCGCCGAACAGGTCCTTCGGATTTGGCGTCCCTTCGGGCGGGGCTAGGATCTGGATACATTAGTCCAGAGCGTTCTGGAACGTTCTCAGAGCGTTCCCGAGCGCTATGCAACGGCCACAGCTCCCAATGCATCCTTCATGACGGCCAGATCTCAGAGATCCCCGAAACTGTCCTGGTCCGACTTTGTCCCTGTCCTGGCTTGGTCTTACACTCCGATTTCGACGACCGACGCTGGATCCATACCCCTGCAGCCGCCCCTCCCCTTCGGGCATGGATGGAAAAACATGGCCGCTGAGGCCAGGAATTTGTCCACGCCCCCGCTCTGGCTCCTCGTGGGGTCTGGGCGCGAGCGGGGGCCTGGACAACATGTCGATCGCCTGCGATTCGATCCGATTTCCCGATCCCGATTCAAGTGGCCACCGGATGTGGCGCCGTTGGCCCCCGTATTTTTTTTTTCGTCGGCGGCGAGGCAGAGGCAGTCCGCTCCAGCGGCAGGCTGATCGGGGTAACCGAAATGCGAATTGCCCGGAGTGCAAGAGGAAGGACAGAAGACGAGGGCGGAAGCCCCCGTATTACACGCTATTTTCCATTTTGGGGATGGCGTGCACCGAAAAAGTCCCGGCAGGGTGACAGCGTGCACAGACGGGGCCCTCGCGGAGGGATCGCCTCACAGGGATAGTTGCAGTCAAAATTGATGGCAAGAACGCTCGATAAGGATGCAAGTCCCATGGACGCCCGTTTTGAAGCTTTTCGCAGGCGGCGGGCCATCGAAAGTAGTCACGGATGCACCAACGAGGCACAGTTGCAAGGGTTCCTTTGGGAAGGGTGCTCATCCTTCCCATCGGCTTCAGCTGTACCCTGGCTTTCGGAGATCGATGTTGCACGTTATCTTTTTCCAGCGCCAGCCGTGAACCACAAACCATCGTCGATTCCCTGGAACTCATCGGAGGCATGGAAATGGAGGTGAAGACGAACCTCCGCGAAATATGGCACACATTATGGATCCTGGGTTTTGTGTCTGCAGTCGGCCTTGATTAGTGGGTCGACCCTGCCAGGTCAAGGGTATCTCCTTGTGTCCTGTGTGTTCGCGACCCATGCCGTCTTCAGCACTCCTGCTGCAGCGTGGCCCCCGGAAGGCTCTTGTGTCCTCTCGCGTGTCCTCTCTAATCCAGTCCGACTGTATTTGTTGGTGTGCCCCTGGGCCTGCACGGTTTCTTCCGGGGCCGTAGGCGACCAGAGGAGGAGGAGGAGGAGGAGGAGGAGGAGGAGGAGGAGGAGGAGGAGGAGGAGGCGGAGGCGGAGGAGGCTGGGTCGCTTGAGCCCTTCGGAGAAACCCTCCACCGGGGCCCCTGCTTGCAGCCCGACGCGATCCGATGCCCCGATCCCACGCCGACCCGGTGCTGCCGGGGTTCCGCGGCCTCCGGGGCTCCTCCTCCTCCTCCTCCTCCCTCCTCCTCCTCCTCCTCCTCCTCCTCCTCCTCCTCCTCCTCCTCCTCCTCCTCCCCCCTCCCCCCTCCCCTCCCCCTCCCCCCTCCCCCTCCCCCTCCCCCCTCCCCCCTCCCTCCTCCCTCCTCCGCGGCCCGCCAGGCCCCGCCGCCCCCAGCGGCGAGCCCCTCCGGCAGCCGCGGCCCGCCGGGGCCTCGGCGGCGCGGGAGCCGCTGCCGACGAACTACCTGCGCAGGGTGAGGCGAGGCTCGTCGTCGTCGTCGCCGTCGTCGCCGTCGTCGGCGCCGTCGTCGTCGTCGTCGTCGCCGTCGTCGTCGTCGTCGTCGTCGTCGTCGTCGTCGTCGTCGCCGCCACCACCAGCATCCTCTCGGGGTGGCTCTTGCTGCGCTCGAGCGGCGCCCCTCCGCCGACGCCGCGCGGGGGCGGGGGGGGGGGCCTGCTCGGCCCCAGGGGTCCGGCCCGCTCCGCTGGCCCGAGCCGGTCAGAGCGTTGATGGAACGCTCTCGGAGCGTTCCGGGGCACTCTGAGAAGGCCGCGGCGCTCGAGGCATCTCCCAGAGCAGCCAGATTTCAGAGACTCTCGATTTGTCCAGGGGAACGAAGAAGGACATAAACATAACATCCCGGAGGTCCGCGCGGATTTCTCGGATCCGCGCTGGGGCCCCTGGCGGCGCCTCCGGCGCCGCCCTTGGCGCGGTCCAGCGCTGATCCGAGAAATCCGCGCGGACCTCCGAGTTTTTCTCTTTGTGTCATTGTTTGTTCCCCTAGAGAAGGCCGCGGCGCTCGAGACATCCCAGGGCAGCCAGATCTCAGAGATTCTCGATTTATCATCGCTCGAATCTGTTCTTGCCCTGGCTTCGTCCGAGTCGGTCGGGCAGTGGCGAGGCGTCCTGGCTTGCATACTGGCCCACCAGAGGGTGCTCTGAGGATTTGTTGTGGTTTGCGCGAGGTATTCGTACGGTAGGTTTGCGTCGTGTCGACCAGCGGCGACCCCAGCGCGGGCGTTCAAGGTTGAACGCCGCCGGCGACCCAGAATCGATCGATGTTGAACGATCGGACGTTGCGGCAGTGGCCGATCGTTCAAGGTTGAACGATCCCTGCGGTGTCAAAAACCAACGCTGGGGTCGGCACGACACGAACCTGCCGTAGAGCGTGTCTGGCTGAGACCGTGCTGCTTTAGTATATCGGCATGCTGCTCCAATAACAATGTTGTTGTTCGTTCGCAGAGCATCTCGTAGTAGCCCTTTACCGATGCCGGGACGGTCGGTCTTTCCTCCAAGTCGGAGGGCAGGGTTAGGCAGAGGAGGGCGAGCTGAGTCGAGGGAAGACCGCGGTGACCATGACCAAGAGGCCGTGGGATTTTGTCGACGCCCATCTTGGACATGACCCATGCCGGCCGTCACGGATTCGCGAAGATAATCCACGAAGTGGCGCTGACCAAGATGGACCTTTCACCGGCGTGATTTTTGGTGCGAGCGCACAGGGGTCCCACCAGGCTGTCGCGTTCTGACTGCTTGGATCTGGCCTCCCCCGACGTCCCCCCACAGCCGCGCACCAAAGATCTCTCCTCCTCCTCCTCCTCCTCCCTCCTGCTCCTCCTCCGCCTCCTCCTCCTCCTCCTCCTCCTCCTCCTCCTCCCTCCCTCCTCCTCCTCCGTCTCCTCACTCCTCCTCCTCCTCCTCTTCCTCCTCCTCCTCCTCCTCCCTCCTGCTCCTCCTCCTCCTCCTCCTCCTCCTCCTCCCTCCTCCTCCTCCTCCTCCTCCTCCTTCGCCTGCTTCTCCTCCTCCTCCTCCTCCTCCTCCTCCTCCCAACTCCTCCTTTGCCTCCTCACAACTCCTCATTCGCCTCACGCTGCGCAGGGTGAGGCGAGATCTCTGCAGCCCCTGGGCAGCGTTTGTCAGAGCATTCTAAAGCACCGACGTCGCCGCTCGTCCTGGGAGAGCTCCTCGTCGCCACGGCCGGGTGCTCCTCGAAGTTCTGGTCAGAACGCACCCCCCCTGGAGTTGTGGAGGACGATCAATGGAGAGGAAGCATGTTGGAGACCATTTCTTTATTGCTTGGGGCGTGACGGGCGTCATGGCCCCCGCCCCTCCCCCCTATGACGTAACGCCCCCCCCGCAGTGCGCTCCGGGCACTGCAGCCGTGCGCATTGGGATCCGCGTAGGTGTCCGCGTAGGAATCTGCATTGGAGTCTGGTCCGCAGTCGTCGTCGACGTCGTCCTCGTCGTCGTCGCTCGTGGTTCGTGGCTGTGGTTCGTCGCTCGTCGCTCATCGTTGTCGTGCGCGCGGACGCGGCTGGAGCCTGTTTTTTTTTCCGGGCCGATGACGGCAATCATCTGGGGGGGATGGATGGGGGTCGATGACGTCACGCTTCGCGCCAGCGGCGCCGGGGAATGCGCAGGAATGACGGAGGACGGGTGGCACCAGCATGCAGGTTGCGATTTGCACCACAACGCATGTGTACACCTCAGTGCCTGCGTGCACCACAGCGCCTGTGTACACCACACAGCCTTTGCACACCACAGCAGCCGCGTGCAACACAGCGTCAGTTTGTATCACCGCGCGTTTGGGCACAACAGCTCTTGTGTAGACCACAGCGCCTGCGTACACCACATCCGCCGTGTGCAACACAGCAGTGTACACCACAATGCCTGCGTGCATTGCAGTGCCTGTGTACACCACGGCGCTTGTGTGCACCACAGCAACCGTGTGACACAGCACCGTTGTTGTATGTAGAATGTTTGAAAGAATCGTTATGACAAAATGGAGCGCTTGTGGATTCCACCGAAAACACTAGAACATAATCCTTATGGACAAGGGGGCGCCAGGGGAATCTACGAGTCCTTCCAAGTTCGCCCGCATCGCAGTAACTCCCCCCATTTGCGTCCAGGAGGCTCCAGCTAAATTGGACGTCCGATTCAATAGACCATTCTGCGGTGCACGCTGGGTTGCGCACGTGCGCTGTAGCGCCAACCCGCACGACAGGGGGTAAGGATAAGGAGGAGGAGGAGGAGGATGAAGAGGAGGAGGAGGAGGAGGAGGAAGAGAAAAAGGGCGAGGAGGAGGAGGAGGTGGAAGTGGAGGAGAAGGGAAAAGGGAACAACGTCGCATTCGATTATCAGCACTTTCCTGGCGTGGCGCTTCCGCAGCAGATTCTCACGTACAGGCTTCTTCTCCCTGTCCTATGCACGCAGGCACTGTGGTGGACAATAGCGCTGCGCTGCGCGCGGATGCTGTGGTGTAGACAGGCGCTGTGGCGTGCACAGGCGCCGCGGTGCACGCAAGCATTGTGGTGTACACAGGCGCTGTGTTGCACATGGTTGCTGCGGTGTGCACATATACACCGGTGCTGTATTGTACGCAAGCACTGCATTGTAATTACACAGGCGCTGCGTTGCGCACGTTTGTTGCGATGTACGCAGGCCCTGTGATGTACACGCGCGCTGTGGTGCACGCGAGCGTTGTCGTGTACACAGGCGCAGTGGGGCAGAACGCTAACTACATGCTGCTCGCGTCGTCGTCGTCGTCGTCGCCGTCGTCGTCGTCGCTTGTCGCTCGTCGCGTCGTGTGCGCGGGCGCGGCTGTGGCGCCGGAGCTACGCGGCGGTGGTGGGGGGGCGTTACGTCATACCCCCCCCACGCCCCCCCCCCCATGACGCCCGTCATCGCCGAACATGAAGACACGCTCTGTTGCCAAATAAGTTCCAGATGGCTAAAACATGTGCTAAACATGTCTTAAACATGTATCAGCATGTTTAAATCATGCGTATGGCGTATGTCCGACATTTTAAACACATGTTACATTCAATGATAGGACTATTAGGGGGTCCATTGTCGTGGCATCCACAACCCTGGAGGGGACCTAGGAGTAGCGGCAGGGCGAGGCGAGATTCTTTCGAGTCAGTCTTGACTTCGGATGGGCCGTGCTTGGGCGATGTCGGAAGCAGGGCGAGTGAACATGTCCGCCCTACTCTTCAGACTCTTTTGATGCCGATTTCCGCCCTGCATTGCCGTCGTTGTTTCCGCCATACATTTATGGACATCCCAGACTTCTTCTTATGAGGCAGAAATTGTCGCCATATTTGTTCGCGTCGTTTGGGGTGTATTTCCGACAACCTTGCGTCGGAAAATCAACCAAATTACGTCGGATCCGAAGTCAGGGAGAGGGCGAGTTGAGATAACGGGTAGTTGAGATAACGGCTGGACCCAGCGCGGAAAAAATTGCGTTTGGACCCTAGGCGGGGTCTTGGGACCGAACCTGAGCCAGGGGCAACGATAGAGCGGGGATGGGCTCAGAGGTTCGAGGTTGAAGGATCGATGTTCGGTTTCTAGAGGTTGTTGATCGTCCTGCGGCGCCCTCGTGGCTACGGCTGGATCCGCCTCGAAATTTCGGTCAGGGCGCGCCCGAGGAAAGGTTCAAGCATCGATGTTTGACCCCTGATCATGGGAAACGCGAGGGGGGTATGGGCTCCGTGAGGGGTGCATGGACCCCCGCTGGGGCCGCTCGGCGCCGCTGAACGTGCCAGCTGAGCTTGGGGCTGCCACTCGCCGTCCGCCACATTCGGTGGCCAATCGATGCAGTTGTGAGCGAGAGGGACGGGCTGGCAGCGCGGGGTGAGACCGCGAAAGGGCACTGAGGTCCGAGGTATGGAGAGTGGTTGGAGCCGTTGCTTCCCCAGCGCCAACAGCTCAATGTCTCTGAGCTTGGAGCTAGCTGTGGGGCTTGGAGCTAGCTGGTTCCGGCCAGCAGTGGAGGGAGAAGGGCACCCTCTCGTCGCCATGCTGGACGCGTCTCGAAACCTCGTCAGTTTCGACCCCGGGATGGGGTCCGGGGGGGGGGATGGTCCGCGCACAGATTTTGAGTGGATTTGCCCTCGCCTCCCCCTTCTTGGCTGATTCTCTCGGGTCCCATCTTGTGAAGACCCCCCAGCCGCTTCCAAATTGGGGCCGCTGCGTCCCGAGCGTCAGAAGCTGAAGGTCCCAGAGCCTCCCAGCTATGGGCTTCAACTAAGGTGGTTACGGGCGGTCGAGGAGGACGGAGGAGGAGCTGCGGCTGGATGAGGATGAGGAGGTGGGGAGGAGGGAGGATGAAGAGGACGAGTTGGACATCTGCGATCCCTGTCACGACATAGCGGATGTTGCTCTAGCGTGGCGAGATAGGAAAGCAACCGAATACATCATGATTCATTAGCATACCATCTTATGTTTGGCAGTGCACACGGAGGAAAGGCTCCAGCATGGAGCTTGTGCAGGGTACCGTGGCTCACATGCATTCTCCAGCCCTGCCAGAGCGCATGGGCGCATGGATGAGGACGGATGATGGGCAGGCGGAGAGGTGAAGGAGGAGGCGGAGAAGTTGCCGGAGTTGGAGGAGTAGGAGGAGGAGGCATAGGAATGAAGAGGATGAGAGAAAGTACGGCGTCGAGGAGGAGATTGAGGATGTTGATGATGATGATGTTGATGGTGGTGGTGGTGATCATGATGATGCTGATGATGATCATGCTCATGATGATGTGATTGATGATGATGACGATTTGATGGTGATGCTGATGATGCTAATGATGATGGCGATAATGACGATGAGGATGATGACGATGCGGATAATTAGCACGATTAGGATGATGGTGATGATGTTGAGGAGGAGAAAGACGACGATGATGATACTGATGAAGATCACGATGATAATGATGATGCTGATGCTGATGCTGATGATGATGATGCTGATGCTGATGCTGATGCTGATGATGATGATGATGATGATGATGATGATGATGGTGACGACGGCGATGACGCGAAGACAGCGATCGCGACGACGACGACGACCCTGACGACGACGACGACGATGACGGCGACGACGATGATGATGATTCTGATTATGATTATGATTATGATTATGATTATGATTATGATGATTATGATGAGGATGATGATGATGATGATGATGATGATGATGATGATGCTGATGCTGATGCTGATGCTGATGATGATTATGCTGATGGTCATGATGATGCTGCTGCTGCTGAGGATGATGACGCTGATGGTGATGCTGATGTTGCTGCTGCTGAGAAGGAGGAGGAGCAGGCGGAGTTCAATGAGGAGGAGGAGGAGGAGGAGGAGGAGGAAAGGGAGGATGTGGATGAGGGAAATTAGTCGGAGGATGAACAGGAGGAGCGGCTGGAGGAGGACGAGGAGGACGAGCTTCATGAGGAGGAGGAAGGAGATGAATATTAGGAGGACGACGAGTAGGAGCAGAAGGACGACGAGCAGCAGGAGAAGGAGGAGGAGGAGGAGGAGGAGGAGAAGGACCAGCGTAGACCAGAGATGCACAGCCGATGCTGCAATACACCCCCCCGTCCCAAGCACCCTCACCTCATACGCCCTACACGTCTTACCTTTCACTGCACGAAGCGCCCCCTCCCTGATAATGACCAGCACTGTTGGGCCTGCCATGGGGGCGAGGTCCCCGCTTTGGACAAGAGATGTCTTGTTGTTTACTGGCGCGTCACCAGGGAAGCGAGAGGTGATGCTTCATGGCCATGGGTGTTAACGAGGTGTCCAGCAATATCCCCCTTGGAAAGAAGGACCGTCTTCCCATCCGTGTAACGGCTGCACAAACTTACAATTGTGGCCATGAGCTTCGCAGAAGTCTCAGGCGACAGCTTCATTTTGAAGTCGAGCCGCCATGGGTCCGTGCAGCGCTACGTGCGTTGAAGTTTCGTGTGTCCAGATTTATTGACGTCCCAGGCGAGAACTCCGTTTTGAAAAGAGTAAGTCGACCTTAATCCTGCTAAGCCTTGCATGAAAAGAGCGAATGCGCGCGGCGCTGAGGCGAGAGCCGATGTTGAAAACAACAAGCGCTCAATCCTTGACGTACGCTCGCTGCGCTAAGTCGAGAGCCCCACTTCGAAAAGGAGTGGCCCTCTGTCCTAACTTCTAGAGCGAGTGTGCGCGGCGACAAGGCGGGAACACCATGTTGAAAGCCACCCCTTCATTCCTGCAGGTGTTGCAAACTTGTAAGACGAATGTTCGCGGCGGTGAGGCGAGAGCCACATCTTGAAGGCGCCCCCCGCCATCCGTGAAACAGGTGCGAATGTTTCAGACGAGCGCGCGCGGCGCTAAGGTGAGATCCACATTTTGAAACTATCCCAACTCCATCCGTGAAATTGTTGCAAGTTTCAAGCTTCAGGGTAGGAGGGCTCAGACCAAACGCCCGACCCGCCCTGCCGATCTGTCTGGGGGTGCGACAGGGAGGAGTCGGCGGGCTTCTTCAGAGCCTCGCAGACTGCCGACGTGCCCGCTGCCCCCTCAATCTTGTTCGCAACGGCGGGGTGCGACGGTAAGGAAGAGGGATGGAGGAGGAGAAGGAGCAGGAGTAGGAGGAGGTGGAGTAGGAGCAGGAGTTGAGGTGGAGGAGCTGCAGGCGACGAGCGCTGGACAAGGAGGCTGGCATAGACGACCGGACCCGCATAGCCGACCTGAGGACTGCCCCAGCTGCTCCCGATTGTTTGCGACGATGCAGTGCGGGTTGGGGGTTGTCTTGGTCCTCCTCTTGCTCGTTCCTCCCTTTCCCCGCCTCCTCCTTCCCCCTCTTTTCTTTCTTCACCTTCTCTCCCTCCCGCTCCTCAACTTCTTCTCATCTTGCTCCCCTCATCTTTGCGCTCCAATTTCCTCCTCGTGCTCCTTCCCATCCACCTCGTGATGCCGGAGCTGCTTCTGCTCCTCTTCCAACTTTTCTCAGTTTTCCCTCGTCCCTCCAGTTTGCTAGCTCCTTCTCTTTCCTCATGCCTCCTTCTTCCCTCACCCTCCGTGTTGTCTCTGTCCTGTTCACGCTTCTCATTCCCAACCATCCTGTGGTGTTGGGTCCTCGTTTTGAAGAGACGGTGCCCCGCGTTCCTCTCCTTCCTCCTCCCCCTCCTCCCCCTCCTTGCCTCTGCTCTCGGCACACCTCTCACGCGTTTCGTAGCCCCATAGGGAGCTCCACCGAAGGCCCCAGTGGGGGTGTTCGCATGCGGTTCCCCCACCCAGGGCAGCGTTTCGTGGCCCCATAGGGAGCTCCACCGAAGGCCCCAGTGGGGGTGTTCGCATGCGGTTCCCCCACCCAGGGCAGCGTTTCGTAGCCCCATAGGGAGCTCCACCGAAGGCCCCAGTGGGGGTGTTCGCATGCGGTTCCCCCACCCAGGGCAGCGTTTCGTGGCCCCATAGGGAGCTCCACCGAAGGCCCCAGTGGGGGTGTTCACATGCGGTTGCGTTTCCCCCACCCACCCCCAGCGTTTTTCGTAGCCCCATAGGGAGCTCCACCGAAGGCCCCAGTGGGGGTGTCCACATGCGGTTCCCCCACCCAGGGCAGCGTTTCGTGGCCCCATAGGGAGCTCCACCGAAGGCCCCAGTGGGGGTGTCCACATGCGGTTCCCCCACCCAGGGCAGCGTTTCGTGGCCCCATAGGGAGCTCCACCGAAGGCCCCAGTGGGGGTGTCCACATGCGGTTCCCCCACCCAGGGCAGCGTTTCGTAGCCCCATAGGGAGCTCCACCGAAGGCCCCAGTGGGGGTGTCCACATGCGGTTCCCCCACCCAGGGCAGCGTTTCGTAGCCCCAGAGGGAGCTCCACCGAAGGCCCCAGTGGGGGTGTCCACATGCGGTTCCCCCACCCAGGGCAGCGTTTCGTAGCCCCATAGGGAGCTCCACCGAAGGCCCCAGTGGGGGTGTCCACATGCGGTTCCCCCACCCAGGGCAGCGTTTCGTAGCCCCATAGGGAGCTCCACCGAAGGCCCCAGTGGGGGTGCCCGCATGCGGTTCCCCCACCCAGGGCACCCAGGGCACATGGCCCCACAGGGAGCTCCACCGAAGGCCCCAGTGGGGCTGCCTGCATGCGGTTCCCCCACCCAGGGCAGCGTTTCGTAGCCCCATAGGGAGCTCCACCGAAGGCCCCAGTGGGGGTGTTCGCATGCGTCTCCACTACCCAGAGGTAGCGCCGCCGAAAACGATATTCACACTTGCGGTATTCACAGTTGCATATGGTTGGGTCCTTCGCCAGGCTAATTCTTTTTTCCGTCTCCCTGACCGTGCTTCCTTCTTCCTGTTCTTGGAGGGCTGCGGCTGCGAATGGGCCACTGTCTTTGAGCCGCAAGTCGCGCCCAGTATATGGTCACAAGCGTGGCTCGCCATACGCACGGTGCAGCCATACGCACGGCGCAGCCATGCTGGAGATATGCAAGATAAGGAGGATGAGAAGGAGGAGGAGGAGTAGGATTTCACTAGAAAGCGCGAACGACAGTTACCAGGATAGGGTTCCGTCAGGGGAGTTTGGTGATCCACACGGGGATCCTGCAGGCCGATCCGTCCACGCTGTTCCTGGGTGCTGGCTGCTCGTCCTGAGGCGGCTCGGATGAAATACATCAAATTTGAAACGATCATCGTCAAACATTGCCAGGACGACAATCAAAATGATTCGGGTGCAACTTGCCGGGCCCGCCGGTCTTACCAGGGAGCGGCGCTAGGCCCGGAGGAGCAAGAGGAGTCAGGAGGAAGCAGGAGGAACAGGAGGGGGAGGGGGAGGAGGGGGACGACGAAGAGTGGAATTGTGAGCGGGAGTGGAAGTCGGAGGATGATGAGGAGGAGGAGGAGGAGGAGGAGGAGGAGGAGGAGGAGGGTGAGGAGGGGGAGGAGGAGGTGGAAGAGGCGGAGGAGGGGAAAGAGGACGAAGAGGAGGAGGAGAAGAAGACTAAGGATAAGAATAATAACAATAAGAAGAAGAGGAGGAGGAGGAGGAGGGGGAGGAGGAGGGGGAGTGTGAGGGCAAGGCGTCGTTGTCGTCGTCGTCTTTGCCATCGTGCTTCCATGGTTGTGACCGAGACGCCGCTGCAACTCCCAGCTTGTCGACCGGGCGATCCAGACGCAGACCGCACAAGGTGGAGGCCCTCGAGTTGCACGACTGCGAGGCTGAGGCATATGAGCGGAGCCGCTGCTTGTGTGGTCGGCTGGGATATCGAAAACGAGCGCCATTGCCTCAGCTGCAGAGACGCTCTGCAGAGCGGGCGCCCGCTACCTGCACGAAGGATGGGAGGCTGGCGAGAGAGATTGTTGGATGAGCAAGACAACCTTCCAGAAAGCTCTGAAGATTTGCACTGATTGGTTGAATGTTTGAATGCGGATTAGCGCAGTACGCAAAACACCTCTCCACGGCCAAATTGGATCGACAAAGTATGGGATGTTGAAGAACTATCTAAGTTGGTATCTTTCTGACCACCGATGGTCCGGGAAACTGTTTTCAATCTGCGTGGAGGCCGTTTTTGTAGTGTGTTTTACACGCTGCGCCAGAGGAGGTTTACGAGACACGGGCCTTCATGTGCACGCTTCGCTTTCGTAATTCTATGGCGATGGCTTCCGATTATTGCTGGGATGTATATGAAGATATTTCGTTGCCCGAACCCATGAATCCTATTGCGCGTTCAAAGTGGAGACCCTTTGCAATCTTCGCAGTGCTCCAACGTTTTACACGATCCTGGTTCCCATAGCAGGTGAACTGAGGAACAGACCTTTCTGTTTAAACCAAGTCGTTTTCAGGAGCAGCTGCTACCAGCCAGTGGAAACCATCTTCACCTCTGCACCCTGCGGGAACTCGAAGCGAAAGGGATCGAGTTCCAGAACCTGTTGCTCTGCTTCGACGGCGACCTCTACAGCACCGTCTGGTGTGCTGTGACAGTTCCGGCAAAGCGCAAGCGGCGCAGCCCGCAACGGCAGCCTTTGACCAAGGGAGCAATACGTGGCAAAACCATGTTCGTACTGCGGCAGACCCCCCCGACTCGACTAAATCAGGAGGGGAAACAACACAGACACAATGAATCGTCGATCCCCCAGAAAATATTGAAAATATGGGAAGTGGAGCCAAAGACGAAAATCCCCAAAATATGAAAACATATGGGGAATCCTGGGATTAGTGTGTATTTATTTGTGTGTCCCCGGGCCCCCTCACTTGAGCCCACAACTCGAAGCATGCCGCGGTTGGATCTGGAGGCGCCCACGCGCTTCATCCTTCGTTTCGACTGCTCTTTGGTGCGGCCGTTTCTGGAGCGCAGAAATCAGGCGATCACAAACATGGATCAAGGGGGCGTGGATCAGGGCGGGTCCCGTTTCCATGGGAAATCGCGAATTCCCGCCGCCGAGCGAGGCGGCACCGGCCGCATTTTGGGGAGGGCACCTCACCCGATCGATGGATTTGGCGACGCGCGCCAAATCCATGGATTGCTAATCCATGTTTGCGCGCCCCCGAAACAAGAGCGGGGTGTGGATTCCAAGTTTTCCATGATGGCTATCACAATTGGACGGAGATATTGAGCAGTGCGGAGGATCGGAAAGAGCACCTCGTAGCGTAACCCGAGTAAGCGATTAAGGAACCCCCCCCCCTCTCCGGTGAAAGGATAACGCACCCGGCACCCGGAAGCGTTATCCTGGCACCAGGAGGGGGTACACCAGATCGCACCAGCCTTTCCTTAGCTTTCCTCAGCTTTTCTCAGCTTTTTCTTTAGCTTTTCTCAGCTTTTCCTTATTCGTATTCGTATTCTTATTCTCATTACAATTCTAATTGGGATGCCACCCGAGGCGGGGCGCTGGAATTATTTATTTTCCTTCCATTTGCGCGGTGCTAATAATATCGCTCGGCGAAAACTCCCCAAATAATTATTTAATTACGGCGCGGTGCTAATGATAACGCCGGGGGGTTCCTTAATTGCTTCTCCGGGTTAGTGGCGCTTCCGAATGGTCGACTGCCTCACTTCTGCTTCACGCCGACAATTTTCGAACCTGCGCCTCGAGTATGAAAGAGCTCAAACAGGTGGTGGATACGTGGCATCGGGTGGTCAAGGCTTGCCGGATGCACGTAGAGCCTTCCGACCGCGCGTGGAGCAGCGCGGTGGGGTGCATCGCGCCTTTGGAGCTTGAGGATGTGTGTTTCGGATTCGTGCATAAGAGTTACGCTTCCAAGCTCTCCGCCAAGAGAGCATGGTATCCAAGCGTTGGGCTCAGGAAGTGCCGCGACGCATCAGCGCAGCGTGGGCTCAATCCCGCAAGCACCAAACAGTGTTGACAGCAAATTGAGTTCTACTTGACTGAAGTGGGCTGCCGTCGAACGTTTCACTGTGCATTCAGATCATGCGGAGGGTGCTGTGTTCTCGGGGGCTGAAGAATCGGACGCAAGGGACTACGCGGTGGTCTTCCGTAGCTGACGGGGCTCAACATATTGCGGAGCAAATGCAAGTTTGACGGTGGGGCTTGTTAGCTTTGGGCAGGGTGTGCTCCTTGGCTGGGCACGTCTCGAGGTTGGCACATTGGGCACATTGGCACATTGTGCACCGTTCGTCTTGGAATATCTCCGCAATATGGAGGGCGGCCACACAGAAGAACGTTCAAAGTTTGGTGGTACGAACAACATGTTTCGAACATTTTCGGACTCGATGGTATTCGCTGTCTAAGCACCACGACGTCTGCGATTCATTCCGACCGTGTTGACTGAGCGAACGCCTCACCGACACGAAGCAGCGACAGTGGCCGTAGTTTCTATACCACGTGTTGTCGTCTTGCTCCTGCTGCTGGATACCGCGCCCACCTCTTGAAAGCGGAGTGCCGGACAGAACAGAACCGTCGTCGCCGGTGGAGGCGGCGGAGGAGGTTTCAGGAGGAAGAGGGGAGGACCCCCCGCCCTTCCCATCGGCCAGCGCCTCGCCCGGTCCGGCCCCAGCGCCTGGAGGATCCTCGCGGACTCCTCGAGCCGGATGGGGAAGGGGGAGCAGACGATGCAGGCCCGGTTGCGCGGCAACTCGGGGGGGGGGCGGCACAGTGAGCGGCGGCGCGCAGATGTGTTCCCGGCCCAGGGTGCACCCAGGATTTCCAGGGAGAGGAGGAGGAGGAAAAGGAGGAGGAGGAGGAGGAGGAGGAGGAGGCCCTCACGGCCTCCAGAGCACCCCACGAGAGGCCTGGAGGGTCCCAAGGGGCTCCAGAATGCCAGACCTGCTGGTTTTCTCGCTCGCCCGCCCCGATGCGGTTTCGGTGGCTGGGGTCAGCGTCGTCGCGAGTTTTTCGGGCGTTTTCGGTTACTCGTCGACGACTCGACCTTGGGTGCTGGCTGTAAGTCGGGCGTGTCCCTCTACAGGGGGAATCTTCTAAGATAGTCATTTGATAGTCAAGGGACGAATGTTTGTTTTTTTTGGGCTATGTTTGAATGTTTGTTCAGTTTCATATCTGTATATATATATATATATATATCTACATAACATCCTCCCAAAACCGCCTGTAGGGGGACACGCCCGACCGAACGCTGGCTCCAAGGGAGTAGACGATGCAGGCTCGGCTGCACCGCATCCCGGGGGGAGGGAGGGCGAGGCAGGGGGGCGCATCAGAAGCGTCAAGTCGGGCCTGTCTCTCTCCAGGAGGAATGTTCAAAATCAGTCAATCAATAGTCAGGGGGCCAGGGGACGATGTTTGAACATTTTTGTATTTTTTATGTGTTTGACACTGTTTTTTGTTTCTGCCAAACTCCGCCTGTGTGGGGGGACATGCCCGACCTAACAGGAGCAGCGGCTGCGCGCCGAAGGGGGTTGGGTGAAGGTGAGAAGGCTGAAAGGCATCGATGCCTCCACTCTCAACATCGTTTAACCGACCCCCAGCCCCATCTTCATCCCCATCGAGACCCCCACCAAATTACCACCCTTGTTGGGGAGACACTCCTCGAAGCCCGAAGGGAACTGCCTAAATCCCCATCTAGGGGAGTACATCGGCCAGTGGGGCCCAGGCCACGCCGCTGGGGATGGGCATCGGTTAAAGGATGCTGACACTCGTCCTGGAGAGCTCTCGTCGCCATGGCTGTATTCTCCTCGAAGTCCCGGTCAGAGCTCCAGGTCTTCCAGGGTTCGAGCAGATGGGGTCGGGGGATCGCGCCGCATCGCCGATGCATCGACGATGCGGCTTGATGTGGAGCACGTGCTTCCCCACGCCGACGTCGCCGATGCACCGCCGATGCATCGCCGATGTATCGGCGACGCGGCGAGATCCTCCGCTTCCATCTGCTCGGACCCCATCTGTGAGGCCTGTGAGAACGCGCCCTGGGAGAGGTCCAGGGCGTGGCAGTAATTACGGGTACCTTTCTATCACCCCAGACGGGGCGGCCTTTCCAGGAGGCAGGCGGCTTGTCAGAAGGGCTCGGAGGCGTCTACGAGAGGGCTTCTTGGGAGGCGGCAGGGCTTTCGAGACGCCCTGGGCCATCTTGCAGAGGAGGGCGAGTTGAGACAACGGCAGCTGGCCTTCGGGGGGCCCCCTCGTCGCCACGGCTGGACTCGGCTCGGAAAGCTGGCGCGTCTGTGCCCTGGGCGGCGAGTCACCGCCGCCCCCTGCCTTTTTTGGAAGCGCCTATGTGGCCGAACGTTGAGGCCAGACCTGCCAAGCTATCGGACCATGTGTTCCCCGAATCGGTTTGGAAAGCCTTCGGGGACGGGGAACACGTGGGCATCTTGACGGTCATCTTGGCCGTCTGCAGGTCATTTTGACCCTTTCGGGCCTGCTTGGAGGACGTCTTGGAGGGCTCTTGGACCGTCTTGGAGGCCATCTTGAGCGTCTTGGAGACCTCTTGGGCCGTCTTGGGGGCTTCTAGGGGCCGTGTCTTGGGCCTCTTGGGCGATCTTTGGGGGCCCATTTGGGCGGTCATGGGGCCCTATTGGGGGCCTCTTGGGCGATCTTGGGGGCCACTAGGGCCGTCTTGAGCCGTCGGAATGCCGAGCAGAAGCAAATCTCCAAATCCTGCAACAACCTACGGAATATCAATGATTTTGGCCTCTTCGGGCTCTCCTGGAGGACCTCTTGGAGGCCTCTTGGGCTGTCTTGGAGGCCTCTGGGGGGCCTCTTGGGCCGTCTTGGGCCGTCTTGGAATCTCTTGGGCCGTCTTGGAGGCCGTCTTGGACCATTTTCATTTTGGGCGGACTTGGAGGCCATCTTGGGCCATCTTCGCGGTTTTTTGAGGATGTCCCGAGCGAAACGGCAGTTTCTGGCGACGACGGCGGCACGACGGATGCGTTTTGGGGATTTTCCAGGTGGCCGGCGGGACGGGCCGAAGCCCCCAGGGGTAGTTCTTTTGGGACAAAAAACAAAACCAAATCCGAGAGGGTCCAGCACGTCAGGCACCCCTGCGATGAATCGACAGGGGGCGTCGGATCGAAGACGCCTACGGCGAATCACCGCCGCCCTCTGCCTTTTTGGAAGCGCCTATGTGGCCGAACGTTGAGGCCAGACCTGCCAAGCTGTCGGACCATGTGCTCCCCGAATCGGTTTGGACAGCCTTCGGGGAACACGTGGGCATCTTGAAGGTCATCTTGGCCGTCTGGAGGTCATTTTGACCCTTTCGGGCCTTCTTGGGGGACGTCTTGGAGGGCTCGCGGGCCGTCTTGGAGGCCACCTTGAGCGTGTTCGAGGCCTCTTGGGCCGTCTTGGGGCCCTCTTGGGGGCCTCTTGGGCGATCTTTGGGGGCTCTTGGGCCGTCTCGGGCCGTCGGAAGGCCGAAACGAAGCAAATGTCAAAATCCTTCAAGAACCATTGGAACATCACTCTTTTTGGCATTTTTTTCTGGCCTTCCTGGAGGCCCTCTTGGAGGCCTCTTGGGCCGTCTTGGGCCAGCTGCGAGCCGCCTTCGGCAATCTTGGGGGCCTCTTGGCCCGACTGACGCCGTCGGAAGCCGTTTCGGCGGCCTTTCTGGGCCGACTTGGGGTCCTCTTGGGGTGCTCCAGGGCCGTCTTAGAGGCCATCTTGGGCGTCTTCGAGGCCTCTTGGGCCGTCTTGGCGTCCTCTTGGGGCCGTCTTTGGGGCCTCTTGGACCGTCATGGGGCCATCTTGGAGGCGTGTTGGGCGATCTTGGGGGCCTCTTGGGCCGTCTTGAGCCGTCGGAATGCCGAGAAGAGGCAAATCCCCAAAATCCTGCAACAACCTTCGGATAATTAATGATTTTGGCATCGTCGGGCCTTCTTGGAGGAACTCTTGGAGGCCTCTTGGGCCGCCTTGGAGGCCTCTTGCGGGCCTCTTGGGCCTTCTTAGACCATATTGAGGCCATCTTGGGCCGTCTTGGTGGGCTTCTGGTCCGTCTGACGCCGTCGGAAGTAGTTTCGGGGGCCCCTATGGGCCGACTTGGGGCCCTCTTGGCCGTCTTGGAGGCAGCATTGGGCGTCTTAAAGGCCTCCTGTGCCGTCTTGGGGGCCTCTTGGGGCCGTCTTAGAGCCCTCCTGGGCCGTTCTGGGGCCATCTTGGAGGCCTCTTGGGCGATCTTTCGGCGATCTTTGAGGGCTCTTGGGCCGTCTCGGGCCGTTGGGAGGCCGAAAAGAAGCAAATGTCAGAATCCTTCAAATACCTTAGACACATCCATGTTTTTGGCCTCTTCTGGCCTTCCTGGATGCCTTCTTGGGGGCCTCCTGGGCCGTCTTGGGCAAGCTTTGAGCCAACTTCGGCCATCTTGGTGGGTTCCTGGCACGTCTGACGCCGTCGGGAGCCGTCTTGGGGGCCTTTCGGGGCCAACGGGGGACCCTCTTGGGGCGCTTCGGGGCCGTCTCGGAGGCCATCTTGGGCGTCTTGGAGGCCATCTTGGGCGTGTTGGAGGCCTCTTGGGCCGTCTTGGGGCCCTCTTGAGGCCATCTTGGAGGCCAGGCCGTCATGGGGCCCTATTGGGGGCCTCTTGGGCGATCTTGGGGGCCTGTTGGGCCGTCTTGAGCCGTCGGAATGCCGAGAAGAAGAAAATCCCCTAATCCTGCAACAACCTACGGAAAATCAATGATTTTGGCCTCTTCGGGCCCTCCTGGAGGACCTCTTGGAGGCCTCTTGGGCCGTCTTGGAGGCCTCTGCGGGGCCTCTTGGGCCGTCTTGGGCCGTCTTGGACTCTCTTGGGCCATCTTGGAGGCCGTCTTGGACCATCTCGGGCGGACTTGGAGGCCATCTTGGACCATCTTGGAGGCCATCGGAGGCCACCGTGGCCATCTTGGACGCCATCTTGAGCTGTCTTGGAGGATTTTTTGTCGGAACGTTGGGGTCTGGGCAATCCTCCCGGGACCCCGGCGGGACGGGCCGAAGCGCCAGGGGGAGTTCTTGTGGTGGAAAAAAACCAGAACCAAAACCGAGAGGTCCAGCACGCCAGGCACCCCTGCGATGAATCGACAGGGAGCGGCGGATCGAAGACGCTTGCGGCGAATCACCGCCGCCTCCTGCCTTTTTGGAAGCCATCGGACCATGTGTTCCCCGAATCGGTTTGGAAAGCCTTCGGGGATCCTCTTGGGCGATCTTTCAGCGACCTTTGGGGGCTCTTGGGCCGTCTCGGGCCGTCGGAAGGCCGAAAAGAAGCACATGTGAAAATCAGTAAAACAACCTCAGGAAAATTAATGTTTTTAGCCTCTTCTGGCCTTCCTGGAGGCCCTCTTGGGGGCCTCCTGGGCCGTCTTGGGCAAGCTTCGAGCCAACTTCGGCCATCTTGGTGGGTTCCTGGCACGTCTGACGCCGTCGGGAGCCGTCTTGGGGGCCTTTCGGGGCCAACGGGGGACCCTCTTGGGGCGCTTCGGGGCCGTCTCGGAGGCCATCTTGGGCGTCTTGGAGGCCATCTTGGGCGTGTTGGAGGCCTCTTGGGCAGTCTTGGAGCCCTCTTGAGGCCATCTTGGAGGCCAGGACGTCATGGGGCCCTATTGGGGGCCTCTTGGGCGATCTTGGGGGCCTGTTGGGCTGTCTTGAGCCGTCGGAATGCCGAGAAGAAGCAAATCCCCAAATCCTGCAACAACCTACGGAA